GTGCAAGGAATAGTTTACCTGTCTGATCCATGAAGAAGGGAAGAATTTATGACCAAACAAGAGATAGATAACATTATGAAATGCAAAATGGATAATTTTGATTACATTAAATTAAAAAGTTTTTGCACCAACAAAGCCAATGCAACCAAGATTAGAAAGAAATCAGAAAGCTAGGAAACAATTTTTACAGTTAATGTCTCTGATAAAGGATTCATTTCTAAAATATATAGAGAACTGAGTCAAATTTATAAGAATACAAGTCACTCCCCAGTTGATAAATGGTCAAAGTATATGAACAGGCAGTTTTCAGATAAAGAAATTAAAGCTATCTATTGTCATATAAAAAGATACTCTAAATCACTATTGATTAGAGAAATGCAAATTAAAACAACTTTGAGGTGCCACCTCATACCTATCAGATTGGCTAATATGACAAAAAAGGAAAATCATAAATGTTGAAGAAGATGTGGGAAAATTGAAACACTAATGCATTGTTGGTGAAGTTGTGAACTGATTGAACCATTCAGGAGAGCAATTCAGAACTAACAGACTAGGGCTATAAAACTGTGCATACCCTTTGATCCAGCAATACCACTACTAGTTCTGTATCCCAGAGAAATAAAAAAAAAGGGTGGGGAGACGAAGGACCTATTTGTTCAAAAAATATTTATAACAGCTCTTTTTGTGGTGGCAAAGAATTGGAAGTTGAGGCAATGCCCATCATTTGGGGGATTGCTGAACAAGTTGTGATATATGAATGTCATGGAATACTATTGTGCTAAAAGAAATGAGGAGCAGGAGGATTTCAGAAAAACCTGAAAAGACTTATACAAACTCATGCTGAGTGAAGTGAGCAGAACCAGAACATTGTACACAATAACAGCAACATTGTGCGATGACCACTTTGATAGACTTAGCTTTTCTCAGAATACAATGATCTAAAACAACTCCAAAAGACACAGGATGAAAAATGTTGTCTCCAAAGCCAGAGAAAGAACTATGGAGTCTGAATACAGATTGAAGCATACTATTCTCTCTCTCTTTTTTTGCTTGCTTTTTCTTTCTTGTGGTTTTTCCTTTTTGTTCTCATTCTTCTTTTACAACATGACTAATGTGGAAATATGTTTAATATGATTGTACGTGTACAGCCTATATCAGATTTCTTGCCACCTTGTGGGAAGGAGAAGGGGAGGAAGAAAAATATTTGGAGCTCAAAATCTTATAAAAGTGAATGTTGAAAACTATCTTTACATGTAATTGGAAAAAATAAAATATTATTAAGGGGGGGGACATCTTTGTTAACAGGGGTGGTTTTTTGAGCGGGAGAGGAGAGAAATAAAGGAGTAATTCATCTTTCATAAGCACTTCTTATGTAAGAACCTGCCATTAAGCCAATTGGGGGCCATCTTGACAGTCTACTTCAATTTCAATGGAATCCAACAATGGGAGGTTTCCACAGCCCATGCAAAAACTGAAACACCAACAGAATTCATTGATCACAGATCAATGCACTCTAGGAGAATGCTTGTTCTGAAAGATTTGAGGCCCTAGTCTGTTAAATTTTTCATTTGAAGTGAAAAGAATTGTGTTGACTAAAAGAGCCTGCTGAGAGTTATCAGGTAGCTATGAGGGACAATTATCTATCAATGCTACTGCTTTGGTATAGATGTACCCATGAGACAGAATCAGGACACTAAATTATGCCAGCTTCTGTTCAACTTGTCAATGCTTTATTTTCAACCCAAAGCAAGACCTGCTAAGAGCGATTCCACTGACTCTGATTCTCTAGCACATGAGAGCAACATAGTGACATGGAAGGAGCAGCAGCCTGAGGGCCAGGAGAGACCTTTGTTCCAATTTCATTTTCTGTGTTACCTTGGGAAGGCTATAGAACCTCTCTGAGCCTCAGTCTCCTCATCTGTAAAATGCAGGTAACAACACCAGAACATGTATCTCATAGGTTTGCATTTTATCAACTTTACAAGGCTATACAAATGGCAATTATTACTATTATTGTTATTCTTATAATGAATAATAGTAGTAATAACAATAAAGCAATGTGGAAAAATCATTGATTAAGATGGAAAAATAACACAATCACCTGCCACACACCAGAGAAGGATCAAGACATTCATTTGTTACTGTATAATTTACTTAAAAAAAAACTTCATTTATTTGCATTACTAGGCAGAGATCAGTCTAAATTAGGAGAAAATATAAATTCCAGTTTTATTTTTAAAGGAATTGTGTTATTGCTTCAAGTCCTTAAAGGATGTTGAAATTAAACTAAAAATGAATTGTTGACCTAACATGAACAAATATAAATCAATACTGTGTGTGATGAGGAGGAAAGGCAGTAGAGTTGGGAAAAAAAAAAACTGACTCTGGAGTTAGAGATCCTGAATTCAAATCCTCCCTATGATTCTTATTACCTGTATGACGTTGGGCAAGTCATTTGCCTCCTTGGTTCTCAATTTCCTCCCATGTAAAAAGTAAGACTACACTATATTTCTTGAGGTCTCCTTCAGTTCTAGACAAATGATCTTGTAATAAATGTAAATTCCAACATTTGGGCTCAAAAATATCAATTATACAAGCATAAAGGGAGGGAAGATATGGCTGAATGCCATCCACAGAAAATAACACAAAATAATAAATTATATCCAAAATAATAAATCATTCATAAAATAATAAATTATACATAAGATAAGTCATATACAAAATAACAAACGACATATAAAATAACAAATCATACATAAAATAAAAAAACCCTAAGAGCATTAGAGTATCAGCTCCATGAGTTGACAATGCAAAAATATGATCCAATTTCGGATCACATGAATATTTGCCTTCTGTGCATCACCAAGGAGGAGAGGGGATAGTCCTCCTCTGCTCTGCTCTGATCAGACCACACCTGGAGTGTGCCGTTTGGCATTTCACCTGTTTGGGTGCCAAGTCAGAAGATGCGGGGAGAATCTGAGAGAACTAAGACACGTGCCATCTGAGGATCAGCTGAAAGTAGGAAGGAATGTTAAGAACATAATAATCATAATAAATAAGGGCTCATGTATAAATAGCTTTTCAAAACTTTAAAAAGCTTTTCAAAGCATTATTGCATTGGATCCTTGAAACAACCCTGGAAGGTAGGTGCTATTACTATCCTTACTTTACAGGTGAGGAAACTGAGTCTTGGAATGGTTAGGTGACTTGCCCAGGGGTCACACAGCTATTTTCTTAAGCAGAATTCAACAAGCACAAATCTTTCGGACTTCAAATCCAATACTTTAGCCACTATACAAATCTGCTTCAATAAGACTAGAGAAGGGAGAAATTAAAGGAAACAAAATAGCTGTATGGGCCCACGGAGTAGAACTAGGAGCGAAGAAAAGAAACAGATTCAGGCATATTACATAGAAAAACTTTCTAAAAATAAGGGCTGCTCCAAGTGACTTCCTTAAGGGATCATAAATTCTCTAACACCAGAGTTCTTTAAATGGAGGCCAAATAACCACTTGGCCCCGAAATTATAAATTTGCATGATACACTATTATATATGTATTTGTACATATAAGGTAGTGTCAATGGAGGACCTTGAACAGCAGAGGAAATTCTCAAATAATGCCTAATGCTATAATTTTATTACATCATTAATGCTACCTTACATGTACTAAATGTTTTATAGTTTTGCTTAATGGACTTTCACAAATATTATCTTTTGATTATAGTTTAACTTTCTACTTTGGCTGAATGTTGTGACAGTTTCTTCAGGGCATCACCCCCATCTTACTTCTCTTTATATCTCCCAAAGCACTTAGGGTGGAATAATAATAATATTAAAAATAATTCATTTATAAAGCATTTTAAAGTTTACAAAGTGTTTCTCAAAGGTTCTATGAGACAAACAATAAAGAGGTGATTTTCTGCATTTTACAGAAGAGGAAAAGGATACTCTGAAAGATTAAGTTATTTGTCCATATTCATGTGGCTTTTAAGTAGCAGAGGCAGTTTCAAACTGAGGTCTAATGACTCACGTCCAGTACATTTTCTGTTATAACACACGGTCTCTCACCACAATACCTTATATAGTGTGGTAGTATGGAAAGCCCATTGGATTTGGAATCAAAGGACCCAGCTCCCCAATTTACCCCCTATCTTGAGTCTCAATTGTTGTTGTTCAGTTGTTTCAGTCATGTTCAACTCTTCGTGACCCCATTTGGGGTTCTCTTGGTAAAGATACTGGAGTGGTTTGTCATTTCCTTCTCCAGATCATTTGACAGATGAGAAAACTGAGGCCAACAGGGTTAAGTGACTTGGCCAGGGTCACACAGCTAGGCAGGTCTGAGGCCTGATTTGAACTCATGAAGATGAATCTTCCCGATTCTAAGCCCAGTGCTCTATCCACTGTGCCACCTAGCTGTCCAAGCCTCAGTTACCTACTCTGTCAAGGGAGGATGTGGCACTAAATGAACTTGAAATTCCCTTCCAGATTAAAATTATGGTTTGTTGGAACCACACAGGTAACTAATAAATAACATTTGTTGAATTGAAATGAATCTCATTTTGTATGTAGACCTAAGCTTAGAATCTTCCCTTTTGCATTCTCAGAATCACAAAAATTCTCAAAGTTGGAAGGGCCCTCACAGACTGTCCCTACCTGACCAAGAATGCCTTCTCTACCATCTATCCTCTGTTTGAAGACCCCTAGTGAAGGCTAACTCACTATCTCCTAAGAACACCTGTTCCACTATGGACAGCTCTGTCAGGAAGCTTTCTTAATTTTTTTCCGCTGTGAATTTCTCGAATAAAATCACCCATATGAATTTTAACGCATAATCTGAGATCATAGAATCACAGTGTCTTCATGGTGAAAGGAAACATCAGTGATTTCTCCTAGTTTGCCATTTTCAATTTGCAGATGAGGTCACATGGATAGCAAGAGGCCAATCAAACGCCGGTTCCTTCTTAAAATCCACCACCTCTTCCAAGGCACTGTTACTCACTTGAAGTGATATACTCAGGAGCTTTTCCTGGACTCAATGGCACAGCTTCTTCATAATAGCCTTCTGGGAGAGAAGATGTTGGTAATGGTGGAGGCCCACTGTCTGGCGGCTAAACGAGAAAAACAGAGTCCGAGATCATTATAAGGCCCAAACATAAATCAGTTAAATCAGTGGAAGTTGAATATTCATCAAGGACTTGCCAATGATAAGCCCTTCCTTCCTGCCTACCTGGATAACACTTTGCTGATCCATTAGATTTTTAACTGCCCTTTGAGAACTAGAAATGCATTTTTTTCTCTCTTTTCTTTGTATCCTCAGAACTTATCACAGTGTGTGGCACATAGTAAATACTTAAATACTTCTTGACTTAACTATGAAAGATTCACAAACGTTCTGGTGTTCTCCACCTTCCTATTAACTTTATATTACTAAGGTTTGATATTTAGACATAAAGTAACAAAAAAAAATTCAACCACCTGTGAACAGTTCAGAAAACAGGATCCCAGAACTGGAAAGTAATTTTAGAGACCACAGAGTTGAAAGGGTGCTGAGAGACCATCTAGTTCAATCCCCTCATTTTATAGATGAAGAAAATGAGGTCCAAAGCAGGAAGACGCCTTGCCAATGCCATGGTCAAATGGGTAAAAAGTGAGGGCCAAGATTTGAACTTGGGTTTTCTGCCCCAAGCCTAATGATCTTTATCCCAAATAGTGAGCCTCTTGCTTCTCTAAGAGCAATGATGTAGAATAAAGAAGGGGAGTGGATGGCACTGCCACCTGCCACCTCCTAGTCCTCTGGCCATCCCAGCAAACTTCAGAAGGAGACAAGGCAGTGACTAGAGACTGGGAGATCTATTGGGAACAGCTTAGAAAATGGCAAATAGAACCTACCAGTCCAGGATTCCTTATCTAGACAACAACAGCAACCACATAAATGTGGCAGTCTCTTAATTGTGTATAAAGCCTGTTGGTGGTGGTTTCCCTCGTACCCCAACACCACCCCCAGATGATCTTGTAGGGACAGATAATTTAAGTATTATTATCCATTTTTCATTCATTTTTTTTTCAAAAAAGAGACATCATTACTTCCTCCTACAAACCTCTTCTGAGACACTGAAATTCTTGTGGCCAAGAAATCCTTTTACAATGGCCCATCTCCCTGCTGGAAGAGCATCCCACCTCTCAGTTTCCTTACTTAGAGCAGGGATAACTCATTGTCTGCCACCTGCATGAGATTTTTTCCTATACTTGAAGATAGCAAGCTCCCTTCCACCCCCAGTATTCTATTCCCCAGACTGCACATACCTCTAATTCCTCTGGACTTTCCTCACAGGGCTCCTTTCCCAGTCCTTTAATCATCATGTTTTTCTCCTCTGGCCTAGCTCCAAGCCCTCTACATCTCCCCTAAATTAAGTCCAAAATGGTACACAATATGCTATGGTCAGCATCAGGCAGGCCCCTGTTAAATGTTCTTGCTCATACATCAAGGAAGTCATAAGGTTTAAGTGATATTAATTTTCATAGCATTTTAAGATTTATTACATAATTCCCTCATGATAACCCTTTGAGGCAGATAGGACAAGAATTATCTCCCTTTAACAGATGAGGAAACTGAGACCCAGAGAAATTAAGGTGCCAAATGTCATATAGCTAGTAATAATAATAAAAAAACAACAATAATAACAGCTAACATTTGTGTTGTTGTTGTCGAGTCATTTTCAGTCATGTCTGACTCTTCATGACCCCATTTGGGGTTTTCTTGGCAAAGATACTGGAGTGGTTTGCCATTTTCTTCTCCAGCTCATTTTGCAGATAAAGAAACTGAGGCAAACAGGGTTAAGTGACTTGCCCAGGGTCACACAGCTAGTAAGTGTCTGAAGCCAGATTTAAATTCAGGAAGATAAGTCTTCCTGATTCTAATCCCAGCACTCTATCCACTGCACCACCTTGCTTCCCAACTAACATTTATTTAACACTTATTATGTACCAGGTACTGTGCTTTACAATTATTTACAATTATTATCTGATTTGATCCTCACAACAAGCCTGGGAGGTAGGTACTATTGTTATCCTCACGTTACAAATAAAGAAACTTGGGCAAATAGATGCTAAATGACCTGCTCAGTAAGGGTCATAGCTGGAATTGGAACGCAATCTCTCGATTCCAAAAATAATACCCTTTCCATTATGCCAGAATGAATCTCTAATTCAATTAATGAGAAGGAATAATCTTTCACCGCTTTTGGAATGGAGATAGCCCCATTCTTCACATGAATAGCTAGTTTTATGAATAGAATTCATACAAATGATGATGATGATGATGATGATGATGATGATGATGATGATTAAAAACTAGCATTATTATAGTGCATTAAGGATGGCAAAGTATTTAACCCTATAACAATACTGGGAGGTAGATGCTATGATTATTCCCAGTTTACAGATGAGGAAACTGAGGCAGCCAGAGATTAAGTGTCTAATAAGTGTCTCAGACCAAATTTGACTTCAAGTGTTCCTGACTCTAGTGCTCAATATATTGCATCACATAGCTGCCTATAATGATGACCTACTGTGCTCAATGCACTCTGCTAGGCACTATGGGAGGACAGAAAGATAAATGAGACACAGTGCCTATTCAAATGGGACTTTTCTGACAGCTCTTCAGGATTTGGAAGATGTGGCAGAGAATATGATTTGATCTTCTACCAATGAGCTCATGAGATCTATATCATATGAGATTACACACTGATTGAATGACCACTGCTCTGATTGGGAAGGTGCTGTCTCAAGTTCCTTCTAATGCTAAGATTCTATGACTCCCAAGATACTTATAATCTAATTAATTGGCTAAATAGTGTGACTTGAGGAACACTGCTTTATCTCATTTGATACTTACAGCAAAACTAAGAGGTAGGATACTATAGCTTTATCGTTCCCATTTGACAGATGAGGAAAGCAAGACTGAGAGAGAAAGGAATCACATCTAAGATCACAAACCTAATAAATGGAAGCACTAAGATCTGAACTCAGGCCTTCAGATTAGAAAATAGAAACCACCAGGCATTGCAATCTATCACATCATTATAGCCACTATGATGATGATATTGTGTGGTACCTTCCATCTCTAATCTTCCCTTTCCATTTTCTTCAGTAACCTTAGACATTAACTCATCTGTGTTCACCAGCTGAACCCTGTGCTTGAATTTATCATTAGCGTGTTTTCCTTGGCTAAGCATATGAAACAAAAACCAATAATAATTTTTTTCTTGAAAAACTTGAATTTGACCATAGGGTTCTTAATCACTTAAAGAAAAATAAAGAGGTTTAGTTTTGAGAGGATTTTTGCAAGAAAAGTCTGACCTTTTCCTTTCCTTTGGTCCAGACAGAATGGAGACAAATGACAAAACACAAATTACTAAATTACCTTTGTATTAACTGACAGATTTTTTTAATGTCAAGATAATGTTAAAATGGAAATCAACTGTGTTCTGCTAAAAAAAAAAAGTTATTACTGTGTGGTGACCTCCTTTAAGGTCAACATGTGTTCTAAGAGGAAGCTAGTTTCTTAAAAAATGTTTCTACTACTAGTGGTTAGTGGAGTCCTTTCTTTAATCTCAAAATTATGTTAGTGGTTTTAAAAGCCTCCTTCCATTCACTGAGTAATCATTTATTAAGGGTCTACTATGTGCTGAGCTCTGTGCGTGGCACCAAAGACAAAAAGAAAAAAGAAAAAAAATGAAACTTTCTACCCTCAAGGAGCATACATTCTATAGGGGCCAAAGAACATGGAGAGATATGAGTAAATTCAAAATATATTCAAAGTATACAAAGTAATTTCTAGGGAAGGGAGAGGCACATAGTGATTAGGATTGGGGAATAAATCAGAAATGAATGTTCCACAATTGTCTCCCATTTCTAGATTAAGGAGGCATGTTTCATCATCCTTTGCCTAGATTATAGCAAAGCATTCCAAAATCCCATGCTATTTTTGTTGACAAAGTAGAAGGATGTAACCTAAACAGTAGTCAAATTAGGTAAATTAGCATTTGGTTAGGTGTGCATCCAAAGAGCAGTCACTGGTGGTTCAATATCAACTTGGGAAGGGAGTCTCTAGCTCAGTGGTGCATCCTTCTCCTCTATTGTTTGGCATTTTTGTCAGTCACTTGACTGCAAGTATGGACTGGTATATTTTCCCAAGTTTACATATTTCACAGGGCTGGGAAGGATACTATTATGCTGGATTACAAAATTGGGAAGTAAAAAAGATCTTCAGGTTAGAAGCTTGTGCCAAGCTGAATAAGATAAAATTGAATAGAGATAAATGTGGTCATTGAGATAAATGTAAAATTTAACAGTTGGGTTCAAGACATTAACTTCACAAGTGCAAAATGATCAGGTGATGGATTAGGTGAGATTAGAAGAGATTTTGGATTAAATGAGACTAACCAACAATTCATTTGCAAAGGATCCAGGGGTTTCGATGGGCTAGGAGTTTCACATGAGTCAAAAGTGTGTTATAGCAATCCAAAAAGCTAAAGCAATCCTGGGTTGCATTAATAGAGTTAGTGTCCAGAAATAGGGAGGATGAATGCTATATTCTGGTCAGACTATATCTAGTGCATTGGGTTCAGTTCTAAGTCTCAAATTTTGGAAAAGTCTTTGAATAACTAGAAACCATCTACATGAGGGTGACCAGGATGACAAGTGACCTTGTGATCATGTCACATGAGGACTGGTTGAAAGAACTGAGAATGTTTCACCTAGAGAAGATCAGATTTGAAAGGTAAGATAGTTTTCCTATGGCTGAGATGAGACTAGATTAAATTAGACTGAGGGAAAAACTACAAGTAATGGGTAGAGGTGGCAAAGAATCTAGTACTAGGCATGTACACCAAGGAGGACATTGATAAAAATTAGAAAAAAGTCACCCCACACAACCAAATACATCTAGCAGCACTTTCAGTGAAAGCAAAGAACTGGAAACAAAGAAGATGTCCATCAACTAGAGAATGGCTATACAAACGGTACATGAATGTAACTGAATATTACTACAGAGAATGCAGAGAAGAGAAAGAATAGCAGAATCTGATACAGAGCCATGAAAACAATA